TCTCTCGCCTCTTTCTGTCTCCCAGACCTATCTCTCTCTCTCTCTCTCTCTCTCTCTCTCTCTCTCTCTCTCTCTCTCTCTCTCTAATACACACTCACACATATACACGTTCACCACTCACACACAGACACACACACACACACACACAAACCTGTAACAATCTTGTCAGCTCCCAGCATCATTGCCCCCCTGTCCAAAGCCTGTCTCCTGAACACTCCGCAAAAAGTACCTGGGAACAGTCAACAATCACAGAGGTGAAGGAAACATGTCCCTACTTGCTAGCAAACTATAAAACATACAAAAACACAACAAAGACTTATGCACTCAAACACATATCGATTGTTTGTCGTAAGACTTCATCACACATAACCTTTTAAAATGACATATGTGAGGCATCATGGTGAAATCCGGAACTCGTCACAATATCATGAAATCAAAGAAATTGGCATTTTTTGGCCAATGGGCAATTTTTTCCATAGTGCTAGGAAAGAGGAAGGTCCATGGAGAGAAATGACAGGGAGAATGTTGTTGTTATTATCTATCCAGCAACAGTTGGGCTTTCTCCCTTCTGTCCAATGCCATGTACAGTCATGGCATACAGGGGGGGAAAGCAAAGAAATAGTTTCTCCGATTGACACACAAACACGCAAACAAACCTTAGGAAAAATGCTTTTAATTATATTATCCCTCACACGAAGAGTAGATGTGTCCAAAACTAAACAACAATTAATAATTATCAAGCGCTTACCTGATATTTCTATACCTATATTGAAAACATCTGACCTGAATCTTCATCAGCATATTTAAAAATTTTATTTTTTTTAAACCCACACCCTAATCCAAAAATGGAGCACCGCCTAATTTCACTTGTCTCTAAAAACTTTCATTTTTGGAGAGTTTTGTTTTACATAGACCTTAAGTTTGATTTTTAGTTGCTCTTTCCCCTCCCATGTTCTGATTTGGTGCCGGACGTTTGTAAGTTACATAAAAAATGTGTCTATACGGTATTCATTTCTATGCTTCTTAAAATAAAAAATACAAAAAAATTAATTTAAAGAAAGAAAAAAAAATCAGGAAAAAAGGAAAATTGCTTTGGTATCTGATGACATCAACTTACAGTTATTCTTGAGGCCTATCTGTTTGACGATGGCATCCATGGTCCAGCCATAGAGCTCCTGGGGGAAACCAAAGTGTACGGAGGTAGCAGGTATGAGAAGGGAAGTAAGAACTTGAAGAACTTGTTTTAGCACAAGTTTTACTGCACTGCAACACAATTAGGTCATGAAAGTGCCAAAGATAAAAAGTTTAGTTTTGGTAAGAGTTTTATGGTACTTGAAACAGTTAGGTCATTAAAGTGCCAAAGATTTAAAAAATATAGTTTTAGTAAGAGTTTTATGGCACTTGCAACAGTTAGGTCATAAAAGTGCCAAAGATAAAAAGTTTACGTTTAAGTAAGAGTTTTATGGTACTTGCTACACAATAAAACCATTCAAGTGCCAAAGATTAGAGGTGTTACAGGACAGAAACATTCAGAGGTGCCAACAGGCAGCCGAAAAAAAAAAATTCTGAACTTCTCTGACCCCCATGGAAACACACACAATGGGACTCCAGATTTACACATCATTTTGTCTCACACATCAAGTGTCAAGACTGAAGTCAGGCAAAATCCTGACAATTTCAGAAAACCAGATTTCCGAATTTATCCAGAAATCCTGCACCCATTGTCCATTTAGAAATCCTCTTTCGGCTTTTCTTCATCAAAAACTGCAGGCCATAGCAAGGACCAGCAAGCCACAAGAACACGCTCTTTTCTCAAAGTGAGTTCAGTTAAGAGCAGCAGTCTACAGACACATTTTGACAGGAAGCACATTACAATTACAGCAATATCAGTTTTTTAGTAAGAGTTTTACGGCACTTGCAACACAATGATGTTACAGGTGTTACTAGAGAGTAACAAACAGAAAAAAGAAGGAGAAGAGATCAGGATGATAGATGTCTGATGTCTGATAGGAAAGAAGAAGCAATATCAACATACAAATAAAAAGGACACAGAGGGAAAATACGCTCTATATTTATCAGAGCACCCACCAACTGCCCACCAATTCAACAGTACTCACCTCATAAGAGACGATGGTGAGAGGGAGGTCATACTGCTGCTGGTTGCGCTTCACCGTCTGGACAAAAACAAAACAAAACAGCATTGAAAAACTCCAGTAAGCTAGATCATCCCCTCGTCATCCCTTACACACACACACACGAAGGCACATACACACACGAAGGCACATACACACGTATGGACATACATACATACATACGCACACAAACACGCACACACACACACACGTATGAACATACAAACACACGCACACAAACACACACACACATGTATGCATGCACATACACACACACATATGGGCATACATACACACACACACACACACACACACACACATACACACACGTATGCACATACACACACATAATCTACCTTCCCCAAAACAAAAACACAAACAACAAGGAGACTCCTTCTGAAACCCCCCTTCCCTCCCCTCCCTCCAAACAAAAAATCAACACAAAAACAAAACTTAAAGATTAACACACAAGCAAAACAAAACAAAACTACGAAGCGCCCCACCTCCAAAGAGTCGTCCCTGTATCCTGTGATACCCTCGTCCACAGACAACAGAATCAGCTTCAGCCCGTAGTTGTGTCGCTCGTTCAGAACTTTCATCGTGTGGGCCAGCACCGTGGAATCTGAGGACACCAGCATAGTGATATTTCACGTTGATGTCTACATTTCTCGAAATACTATCATTAATGAAACACCCGTCCAGCTTCCTGGAAAAAGAAAGGGTCATTACATCCTTCAGCACTACAGGGCCCTGAGACAGGAAACGCGGCCAACCCCACTGACACTACAAGAGAAGCTATACGGGTCGACAGATGAACTGAGTGAGCAGGACACCCAATTTATGACAGATACCAGACTTCAAGTGTGATGCCATCGAGAAGATGAAGAATGGGTCATTGATATATATCACAGTTTTTTGCTGCTGCTGTTGTCCTCATAGTAGTTATTGTTATTGTCTTTGGTATCAATATAACTGTTATTTGTGTTGAATTGTTGTTGTTGTTGTAGCTGTTGTTGCTGTTTTAACATGTTGCTCTTATTGTTGTAGTCATTATTATTGTTGTTGCTATTGTTGTTGTTATTGTTGTTGTTATTATTGTTGTAGTTCTTTATTGTTGCAATTATTGCTACTGCTGTTGCAGCTGTAGTCGTAATTCTTGTAGTTGTAGTTGTTGTTGTTGTCTAAATTGTTGCCGCAGTCATCATCATCATTGTTATTCTTTTATCGCTGTTGTTGCTATCGGCCTACAGCAATGGGAGCCAGCAGCCTGAGGACTATCTCCCCTCCCTCGGCCCAACGTCGCATAGGTGCACTGCCTCTCCCCCTCCTTCTCTTCCTCCAATAATAATAATGATAATAATAATAATAACAATAATTATAATAAAAATAATCATAATAAAAATAACAATAAAAATAAAAATAATAATGATAATAATAATAAT